AATATTACAACCCCTGTAAAGAAATGGAAGGAAAGAGGCATGGGGAAAAACCGAATTGTAGAAGATAACATTTGTAGTTCAGGATTGAACTGGGGGGACCTTGGTGCTCCCTGAGCCTGGAGGTTTTCTTGCAGACATTTCATGACCCAACTACGGAACATCAGCAGCGCTAGAAAGTTTGTGCTAAAGGGCCTCTAAACACTGATGGCATTACCTAGTTGGGTCACGAAGCGTCTGCAAGAAAACCACCAAGCTCAGAGAGCACCAAAGACTCCAAAAAACAAGGAAAGTCTTTCAAAAGATCTCAGAAGGAGATTCCAACCTCGAATTGGTATGTTAAATATTAAACGCCATCTGCCGTTTGAAGTCACCTATGTGTGAGTTGGGCGGATACATAAATTTGTTTAATAAATAAAATAAATAAAACAAAATAACCAAATTAATCAAGTTCAAAGGAAGATGGGAGTATACTGAAACACTCTAGAGATGTCAACATCCAAGCTATCTTAAAAGACATTCCTTCTTTGTAAGAACCTCTAGTTCTAGAAGGTGACATTAAATCAACACCCCAAAAATAGGGAATTAAATTAGATCAACCCGTTACCCTACTAAGAAACATCATCAGTGCTAGCTTGGCCCATGAACTGTCTGCAAGGAAACAACCAAGAGAGCCTCAAGGACCCCACAGTCCAAGTCAGAAATCCAGAGGGACTGATGATGAAATATGGTAAGCGATAGAAATAAAAATCAGTCACAGTTCTAGCCAAACCATGCCAGGAAATCTGGAGAACAGCTCAGGGGTTCATTGAGCACCAAGAAAAAGGAGACTTTACAGACCCTTCAAACTCTGGTACACCATCCTTAATTTCAAATGCTTGCAAAATAATGTGCAGGCTCAACCAAAGAGATTAGAGCCCTCCATGAAAAGGGACATAACCAGATGTTCAGGCTGGCTTTAGAAAAGACCAAAGAACCGGAGACTTTATTGCTGAGGCACGCTGGATAATTGAGAAAGCCAAAGAATATTTAAAAAGAAATCAGGATGTGCTTCAACGATGACAGAAAAGCCTTTGATTGTGTCAATTATGTCAAGCTGTGGAAAGTGCTTAGAAAACGGGAATCCCAGAACATCTCAATGTCCTCATGAAAAACTTCTATCCAAGTCAGGAAAACACAATCTGGTTAGAACAGGTGAAACAGGTGGGCTCCGGGTTGGCAAAGGACCAGAGGTGGGCTTCAGCAGGTTCTGACCAGTTCTGGAGAACCAGTAGTGGAAATTTTGAGTAGTTTGGAGAACCGGTAAATACCACCTCTGACTGGCCCCGCCCCCATCTATTCTCTGCCTCCTGAGTCCCAGCTGATCGGGAGGAAATGGGAATTTTGCAGTAACCTTTCCCTGCCACGCCCACAAAGCCATGCCACGCCCACAAAGCCACACCCACAGAACCAGTAGTAAAAAATTTTGAAACCCACCACTGCAAAGGACTGAACACTGTAAACCAGGAGTGTCCAACCTTGGCAACTTAAAGACTTGTGGACTTCAACTCCCAGAATTCCCCAGGCAGCATGCTGGGTTGAGTTGAAGTCCACAACTCTTATAGTTGCCAAGGTTGGACACTCCTTCTATGCTCTACTATGTTGAAGAGCTCCAGGACCAGGGCAGAGCTCTGAGGGAACCTCTCTCTCCATGTAGCTCCATGAAGGACCTCGCGTTGAGCACCATTGTCCAATCACCTGCCCAGCCACCTTGTAGCAGGACCAGCCACACCATCCACCTTCCAGCTTATCAAGAATGAAGCTAGATTTCTCTAGCATGACCTGTTTCTAAACAAACCCAGGTTGACATAACGGCCTGGGATCTTTCTAAGGACCTCCACGCTCACTTGAGGATCATTTCAAAGCTCTTTCAAGTCTTCACATCAAGCTGCAGCTTTCCAGAGTTCACTTTTCCCCCTCTTTTAAAGATTGGGTCCATCTGAATTCTTCTCCAGTCGCCTCGTACTCCCCAAAATTCCCGTTGGTGGTGGTAAGGATTGTATCTGCCAGTTCCTTTAGCATCCTGGGCTGTGATCCATCTGGCCCTGGTAGATTGAACCCATTCCAAGCTGCTAGGCACTTCCTGACCATTTCCTTGCCTCTCCTGACTCTCCTGCCTGCCCCATAGAGAGCACCTCCTGACAGGTTGGACCGTTTTTAGTGAAACGGCAGGTGCAGAATAGGAATTAAGCCGTTGGTCTCCTCCTGTGCCCATCAACATCTTGCCATCTTCTCCAGCCAGGTGATTTGGCTGTTTTCTTGGCTGCTTCTTCCCCAACAAACTCTTCTGGGCATTTGTGGAAGGCTTCACTCCTTCCCAGCCTTGGTCTTCCTAACCCCATCCTTACAGCCTTGGCACGTTCCTCGATGTTCTCCTTTCATCATCATCATCATCATCATCATTATTATTATTACTACTACTATGTGTTCCTCTTTCCTCTTTTTTTTTTAAAACTTGTCCTTTTGTTCTCTCAGTTTATTGGAGAATTCTTGGTGCAGCTCCACCAGTTTCATAAGCTATTTTTCTTCCTTTTTGGTTTGTTTATGTTTAGGCCTTTCATTATCCAAAATTTCCCAATAATTCTCCTGAACTGGTTTCCATCCATGGAATCCTTTCCCCTGGCGATCGATCGGAAGGGTTAGAGACCCCAACTTCATATACTTACTGATGAATGGATGCTCATATGAGCTTCCAAATTGCCAAAATTCTGCTTTTTCTTGCAATAAATCTCCTAAGACTCCGTGGGAGTCAAGATTTTTCGTTGGACAGGGACTTGACAAGAGCGTCTTTAATTGACATTTTGACTCAGTTCTTCCCTGATGTGTCAGGTTCTAGTACTTGTTGCCTCAAGGAGGTTAAATAAATTATTCTGAATTTTACTATGGAAAAGCATAACTTTTGGGGGGAGAGAGAGCTGTTCTAAGCCCCCGCCCCCGTTAACAGGCAAACAATTTGTGGTATGCCCCAAAGGGGCTTTTTCAAAAGGCAACCGGACTCTCTTGGGTTTTTTCTTTGAAAATGTTTCACTTCCCATCCAAGAAGCTTCTTCTGTTCTGAAGAAGACTGAAGAACCGAAGAAGCTTCTTGGATGAGAAGTGAAACATTTTCAAGGAAAAACCCCCAAGAAAGTCCAGTTGCCTTTTGGAAAAGAAAAAAAAATGTTGTTTAAACCTAGTCTAGTGAAAAGAAGAACCTGGGGTGACAAGAGAGCAGCCTTGCAATATTTGAGGGGGCTGCCCCAAAGAAGAGGGGGCCAACTTATTCACCACAGCACCCGAAGGCAAGACAAGAAAGGATGGATAGAAACTAACACAGGAGAAAAACAACCTGGAACTAAGGAGAAACTTCCTAACAGAACAATTACCGTAATCGGTGGGACAAATTGCCTTCGGTGCCCCAAAACACTGGAGGCTTATAAGACTGGAGAGCCATTTATCAGAAATAGTACAGGACGTTCTCCTGCAAGGGCAGCGGGTTGGACTCAATGACCTCCAAGATACCTTCTTACTCCAAAAGCACCGAAAGCACCTTGGGGACAAGATGACCTGGATGATTGAGACCCTCCATAGAGGTTCCTTCATTTGTGGTATGGGAAGCTCTGAGAGATGCGTGAGGGCCCCTGTGCAAGAGGCCTTGGGTGGATGGAGGCTGCTTCAGGGTGAAGCGGCTGCCTTCAGAGGAGAGACAGGCAGTCCGGAGTAGATTTCCCCCCCCCCCTCACACACACTTCTTCCCTGTCCAAAGGTGTCTCCTTGCCTCGAAGGACAGGCAGTGCCTAATCCCGTTGGCAGGGTCACGGATTGGGGCCTCCTGCTTGGCTGCCCTCCCCCGTTGGCAGGAGCAGAAATGGGCAGACTCGACCATGGGCCCCTGGGCTCCGTGCTGCTCCCTGCCTCCAAGCCCCTGCCTGCCGTAAGCCTTCCATGAAGGGAGCTGCGTCCCCCCACAGTCCTCTCCTTAACCTGCAGTTTCTGTTCTCTGGCTAAGCCTCCGTGCGTCCCAGGCAGAGACAAAGGGCGGCTGGGTGCGTGGAGTGGCCATTGGGACACCAGCGGAGGTTGTTCACCATCTCAGAAATAAGGGGGAGGGGTGTTGCCTACTAGGGAATCGAACTACGGTAGCCCTCAACTTCAAACCATTTGTTTAGTGACCATTCAAAGTTACAACACGCTGGAAAAACTGACATTTTTCACCCTTACAACCGTTGCAGCATCTTCACAGTCACCTGATCAAAATTTGGATGCTTGAGAACTGGTTCATATTTATGACGGTCGCAGTGCCCCAGGGTCATATGATCCCTTTTGGCGACCTTCTTGCAAGCGAAGCTGGATTCATTTAACAACCGTGTTAGTAACTTAGTGGGGTTGGGCTAGAGGACCTCCAAGGTCCCTTCCAACTCTATTCTGATTGAGTGATAGAAACTGCAGTGATTCACTTTACAACTGTGGCTAGAAAGGTTGTAAAATGGGACAAAACCCGCTTAACAACTCTTGCTCAGCAACGTTGGGCTCCACTGCAGTCGTATAGCAAAGCCTTCCTATCCGGCTGATAGAACCAAGAGCGACACAAGGAGTGACCTCTGAGCAGCCCCTTTACTGTTGTTCACCTCTAAGACAGAATCTTGCCGAAGCAAAGCGAGTATCTCCAATGACCATAGACTTACTCTGTGAACTGCTAGGGAGGGTCCGACTTGCTCCCTTCCTGCCTACCAGGCATCCCAAGCTCCGCTTTCTCCCTGAGCCCTGGGAAAGAGCCCCTCCATCCTAGGACTCTGCACTAGCTTCCGCCACATCTCGGCTGTCGCAGGCCAAAGGCCGTGGGGGCCCAGCAGTGCGGCCGATGGTCTGGAATGGCTGGAACGGGCAGCCAGAAGCCTTCTGCTCCCCATCAGCCACGCAAAGAACCTCTCCCTCCTTCTGATCTGGACTTTCCTTCCTTCCTTCCTTCCTTCTCCTCCTTTCAGCGGAAACGCCCATTGAGGAGTTCACCCCAACACCAGCTTTCCCGGCACTGCAGTACCTGGAATCGGTGGACGTGGAGGGTGTGGCGTGGCGAGCAGGACTGCGCACAGGAGACTTCCTGATCGAGGTGAGGCCATGGCGGGGGCGGGGGAGGCTGAGCAGCATTGGGAAGGGGGGAGCAGTTGAGGGTCACCGTCTGCAAGGAGCAGAAACCCTCCCGAGACGGTCTCCCTGCAGCTGGGCAGGGGGCATTCGGGGTCTCAGGTGAAGGAGAAAAAGAGGACAGAGAGAGAAACGTCTAACGGGGGAAATAGAATCTCCTCTCTTCAGGGCCCCAAGCTCTCGGTTGGCTCCTTCTGTGATGGTCGGTTATGGCATCTTTTAAAAGGCAGCCTTTGATACCTTCTCACCTGCCTCTCAGCACGCCTGACCGCTTGTACAGGTAGGGCAGGGGCTCCCATTGGGGCAGGCAAGTTCTCCGCCGGTCCTCCTCCGTCCTTCCCCTGCAGTTGCCACTGGTGGCATCCCAGCCTTTGGCTTCCCCTGGGATTGTTGGGGTGGCCTTGTGCCGAAAGAACGCGCCCTTTGTTTCTGCCAGGCTCAGCCACCTTCCCTTGACCCGCCTCCCCATGTGCCCAGCAGTGCCACAGATGAAGGGCCAGGGCATCCCCACCTCTTTCCAGGAGACACCATACGGAATACTGTGGATACAGGATATAATACAGGCAGTCCTCCACTTACAACAGTTCATTTAGTGACCATTCAGAGTTACAACCACACTTTAAAAGGGGACTTGGGACCGTTTTTCACACTTACGACCGTTGCAGCATCTCCATGGCAGCTGGCTCGTATTTATGACGGCTACAGTGTCCAGTGATCCCCTTTTGTGACCTTCTGACCAGCAAAGTCAACAGGGAAGCCAGGTTCACTTAACAAACATGTCACTAACTTAACAATTGTAGAGATTCACTTAAGAATTGGGGCAAGGAAGGTCATAAAATGGGCAAAACCCACTTAACCAATTTCTCACTTAGGAACAGAAATTTTGGGCTAAAAGTTGTGGTCGTAAGTCGAGGACTACCTGTAACAAAATCTTGAAACCCATTTGTTTCCCTTCCATCCTCCTTACACCAAAGGAAATCAATCTTGAGTTTCTTCCTCACTCTTTCCTGCTTTCCTGGGCGAAGTTTATGTGTCCCCAACGGCCGCCATGCATTTCCTTCAAAGCCGTCTCCCTATTTTTCTACGGGGGAGTCAAACTAACGAGTAGGATGAGCAGGAAAGCAGATTTGGGCTCAATGGGGGGAGGAGGAGGAAAGGGTGGCCTTGAGAGGGTCTGGTCTCCTCTGCCCTGGAGGTCAGTATATAATGACCTTTATACCCATATATAAAGTCCTGCTGGGTGTCAACGGAGAGGTAACAGCGCTCCGTGGTATGACGCTGGCCACATGACCAAGGAAACTTCTTCGCACAGCACTGGCTCAGTGGCCTTGAAACGGAGCTGAGCAGCGCCCCCTAGAGGCGGCAATGACTAGCGGAGTAAAATCCACAGGGTTTCCTTTCCTTTTACCTGGATGAAAAGAGGAGAAAAGGGTGGCGGCCCTGGTGGATAATTTGGTTCAGAACTGTGCAGATTATCCAGGCCAATGTCAAATATTTGGAGCTCTCTGGGCCTACGTCAGTCAGCTGGGATCGTTCCCAGGGGCCACCTGGAGCCATCTATACTGATATGTGTGCACTTCCCCCGACCTCTCGGGGCTACGGGCCAAGGTCGCTGCTGCTTAAGGCCAACTGGACATCTGTGGAGATTGAGCTGTGTGTGTCACTGGAATGGCTGCATTTTGTCGTGCTGGTGTGTTGTCAGGCACAAGCAGCCAGATCCACAAGTTCAAAGCTCAGACGAACTATTTTATTATATTCTGCCTACTGTAAAGGAATCTGCCCAGACCGCTTGCCTTCCCCTGGGAACAGAGAGAGAAGGCTCCATGGAGCTTCTGTCTGTGTCAGAGGGTGTGTTCTGGATCACTTGCAGCTATGCCAGGATCCCAGGCTAATTCCCTGCTTGAGACCTCCTCCTCCTCCCTGCCTGGCGAAGTTTCCCAACATGTTTTGAAAGAAGTGTCTTTGCTGGAAGTCACGCCAAGTATGGAACAGTCCCAAACCAATTCTTGGACCTCTGGCTGTTGCCTTCTCCATAAAGCAGGCTGTGATTCATCCCACACGCTGCTTCTGCCAAAAGCAGGATGAGAGGGCTGGCGTCTGAGGAGGCGAGGCAGTGAAACTGGCTACCGTTTCTTCGGGCTGGAGGGCATCACAGCATTGATCTGTGCTCTGTGAGGAGGGCATCTCTCTCAAGCTAGGATTGGGAAGACCTGCCTTGGCAGTAGTGCATGTGAGAAGGAACCCCGGCTGAATGTGAGCAGGCAGGCAGGGCGATGCGGCAGCTAAGAAACTCAATGCAATTAGCAGAAGCATCACAGTCAGACCACGGGAGGCCAATAGTTCCACGGCATTTTGAGATGGCCCAGTCCCTCTTCATCACTTCTGGGCACCGGACTTAAAGAGAGACGTAGCAAGAGCTTCTGGGATCAGGAGCTTGAACACCAACCCTGCGAGGAAGCCTTAAAGCAGCTGGAGGCGGAACCTGCCCAAGAGAAAGGGGAGGGGAGGGGAGGGGCCTGCAAACATCTAAGGACTGTCTTGGGCAAAAGGATGCAGATTACTGGTGGAAATTGAGAGAAGAACTAGCCAATCAAAATGAAGAGAGATTCTGTGCAGTGTCAGAGTACAAGAACTGTAAATCGGAACCTTCTGGGCTTTCCAACGGCCAAAGGTTTCCACAACATGACCTTGAACCTATACCCACCACTTTCATGGAGAACATCAGGAATCGCTTTGAAGCCCTGAAACTCATGGAATGGCCTTAAGGAGTCACTAAGGATGAATGTGAAAAGGTACCACTGAGAGAAAGGAAAACAGGGAGAATGCAAACCGGATATCAGAACAAACTCTGGAAATTGTGAAGAGGAGAAGAGAAGCCAAAGCCAAGAAAGAAAAATTCTCAGAAGGGAATTGAAGAAAGAGTTTCTCTTTTAAAAGAGACAAGAAGCAGCATTACGACGACGTCTGTAAAGGCACAGAGGATAAAAACCGACATGGGAAAACAAGGAGTCTTTCAGAAAATCCCTGGAATTTCTTAGAAGGGGATTCCATCTAGAATTGGTGTGAAAAAGGAGCCCGTCTCCTTCACCGTGTCCTAACCAGGCTGGCGGCTCCTGGCCTGCAAAGACGTTTCCCATGAGGACATTGAGATGTTATGCTAGGAAAGTTGGAAGGCAGAAGGGTGGCCGGAAGACAGGTGGATGGACGGTGGCAATCAGGGCACCCTTGGAAGAGGCAAAGGACCAAGTTAGGGCCAGAACATCATAGAGAAAACCTGTCTTGTGACTAAGAGTCGAGAATTAATGGCACGTCATCAATTAATCAAAAGCTTTTTAGACAGGACCCATCTGAGGGATTCCACTTCCTATCCAGAGCTGGTTGGACAACCAGCTAAACAGGAGCCAGCCGTGTGCGGTGGCAGCCAAAAAAGCCAATGCAATCCTGAACTGCATTAACAGAGGGATACAGTCAACATCAAGGGAGGTACTAATACCCCTCTCTAAAGCCCTAGTAAGACCACACCTAGAGTACTGCATCCTGCATCCAGTTTTGGTCACCACACTATTAAAAAAGGTGGGGAGAAGAGTGCAGAGAAGAGCAACAAAGGTGATTAGGGGACCGGAGGATAAAACAAACGAAGAACAGTTGCAGGAACTGGGTATGTCTAGTTTGGTGAAGAGAAGGACTAGAGCAGACATGATAGCAGTGTTCCAATATTTGAGGGGCTGCCACAAAGAAAAGGGGGCTCAACCTATTCTCCAAAGCACCCGAGGGCAGGAGAAGAAGCAACGGGTGGAAACTAACCAAGGGGAGAAGCAACCTGGAACTAAGCAGAAATTTCCTGGCAGTGAGAACAATCAACCAGTGGAATGGCTCCCCTCCAGAAGTTGTGGGGCCTCCAACCCTGGAGGTTTGTTAAGAGACTGGACTGGACAGCCACTTGTCCAGAATACTGTAGGGACTCCTGCTTGAGTAGGGGGCTGGACTAGAAGACCTCCAAGGTCCCTTCCAACTCTGTTAAGCTGTATCTGTTGTCACTGCCTGGTCAGCCATGACTGGCTGGGGAATTCTGGGAGTTGAAGTCTTCAAGTTGCCAAGATTGGGCTCCCCTGGTGTAAACCTATTGCCCTACAAAGCTCTTGGCAGGAGAGGACGTGATGGCTTGGAAGCATGTTGATGGTAATTCCAGACCGCCAGAGGACAAACTTGCTTGGATATTGTAGATAATGAGAGACTCCTGTTTGAGTAGGGGGCTGGACTAGAAGACCTCCAAGGTCCCTTCCAACTCTGTTAAGCTGTATATTCACTGCCTGGTCAGAGTGAGATCTGGACACAGAGCAATAGCAATAGCCCTTCGGCTTATATGCCGCTTCACAGTGCTTCACAGCCCTCTCTAAGCGGTTTACAGAGTCAGCCTCTGGCCCCCAACAATCTGGGTCCTCATTTTACTGATCAAAGAAGTGTGGAAGGCTGGGACAACCAAGACGGAACTGAGCTGGCTTTTCCCAGATGTGTAAATCCTCGGCCGGGGTCAGAGGCTGGAGAAGGTTGGCATTCGGACATGGCAAGTTATTATTCTGGGTGGGGGAGGCTGTACAGCCCCTGCTCCTCCTAGAGCAGCGGTCACCAACTGGTGGTCCATGGACCACTGGTGGTCCACAAGAAAATTTTGGTGGTCCATAGAAACATGATTTGCATTTTTTTATATTGCACTAAATCAGGGGTCCTCAACCTACGGCCCCTGGGCCGGATACGTGCAATGAACGTTTGTGTTGCTGCAGAGAGTCTCCCCCTTCGGGGTCTTTTTGTGTGGGTCACAGGGGGGCAGAAATTTCAACTTGGGGTCTGCTTCGGCCTCCTGGTGCAGGGCTTTGGGCAAAGGCTGGAGGGAAGAGCCGGAGGGCCTTGTTCCAGTGGGACTGCCTCATGGCCTGGAACCGGCTGACCATCTCAGCCTGCTGAGCCTCCAGATGCCGGTACCTGGCCTTGCACTCCTGCAGGTCTTCCCTCTGCTTGGAAAGCCTATGCTCCTAGTCCTCAGTGAGGTGCTTCTGCTGAGCCTCCTTCTCAGTCACATCCAATTTAACTGAGCCAGCTGTTTTCCCAACGCTTTCTCCTGGTGGCTGCTTAGCTCCAGCAACTGCTTCCTGCTGGGGCCCTAAGGAGCCTGGGCAGGCAGGCGAGGAGTAGTGAGTAGAGGCTGGCAAGGGGGCCCTTGATGTGAGTGACATTGAGTTTAACCACGCCCACCCAGTCCCATGTCCACCGTGCCACGCCCACCCAGTCGGTCATTAGGCCAATCCTATTAGTGGTCCACGGGATTTAAAATTATGAATTTAGTGGTCCCTGAGGTCCGAAAGGTTGGAGACCCCGTCCTAGAGGGATGCCTCCCACCGACAGCCTTTTGCAAGGCAGCCCCCTAGTGCTTGAAGGGTGGAGAGCCAGTGAGGAGAGTCCAGTTCCCATCATCCCCAGCAGATGTTGGATTGTCCTAGGTTAGCTGGATTAAACCTCTTTCAGATCAGACCTTTGGATAAAAAATGTGGTGTTGGTTGTTTTTTTTTTTTGTTTTGTTTTTTTTTTTGGAAGCTGTTGCTGGAAATATTTTTTTTTCTTTCCAATGCGCAAAACCAGTTATTTTTGCCACAGTGCCGAGGAGAAATGACATTCACCGCATTGAAGTAACCATTTCTATTTTGAACCAATGCTTCATTTCCTTGAGAAAAATTAAAGCGAGGTGTGCCATTAGGAGAAGCTGCTGCCGAGGGAGGCAGCCGTTGCCAGGCCCCGGGTTTGGAGAAGGCCCCCCGCCCCACCAGCTGGATTGGGATTGGGGACCCCAGGGGGAAGGGGTCAACCTGCCCCCATTGGAAAGGCTGCCAAGGGCTTCTAGAAAAGTGGCACCCAGAGCTGAGTTTTACGTGCCAAATGGTGCCCAGAAGTCTCACGGCGTGGAGATAAGCACCAAGATGCTCTAGGGAGGGGTCCTTAGCGCTCTCTGAGCTGGGTGGTTTTCTCGCAGACGTTTCATGACCCCCCTAGGGAATATCATCAGTGCTAGAAAGGAGAAGGAAGAAAAAAAGGGTCTTTGGTGCCCACTCAGCTTGGCGGTTTTCTTGCAGATGTTTCTTGCTCAGCACTGATGATGTTTCCAAGTTGGTTCATGAAACATCTGCAGGAAAACCGCCAAGCTCACAGAGCACCAGGGATCCCCATGTGAACCCTGAGCTACAAATGCTCTCCTTGGTCAGATGCCAAAGTGCAGCAAATACATTTCATAAATTCTCCTCCTCATCTTCAGCTGAAGGGATGCCAGCCTTCTTCAGCTTAGCCTCTTCCTAGCGTATCTCAAACTGGAGTCCGGTGTCCCTTTCCTTTGGCATTCCCTGGTTCAACTGAAGGGCAAAAATGCCTGGCATTGTCTCTTGGCCGAGATGGAACCAGGACTCTCCTTTGCCCGCTGCCTGCCCTCCCACCTCCCGCAGCGTGCTTCCACTCACCCCTTCTTGCCCCTTCGAAAGAGCCCAACAGCCCACAGGTCCAGGCTAAGGAGGAGGGGAGGAGGACCGTAGAAGGCCCAGAGGAGATTCGCCTGGCAAAAACAACCTGGACTTAAGGAGAAACCTCCTAACGGTGAGGACAATTAACCAGTGGAAGGGCCTGCCACCAGACGTTGTGGGGGCTCCGTCAGTGGAAGCTTTCAAGAGGAGACTGGACAGTCACTTGTCTGAAATGGCATCGGGCTTCCTGCCTAAACCGGGGGCTGGAATAGAAGATCTCCAAGGTCCCTTCCAACTTCTCTTCTGTTCTGTTCCAGTCGCTTCTGAGCAGTTGCCCGGGCTCTCTCTCCCACTTTCCCAGGGACTGGCCAGAAAGGGAAGGAGACTTGGTCCTCAGGCGCCTTGGCTCACTTCCTTGAGGCATCACCCTTCAGGAGCCACTAATTGGCTTTAGCTTCTGTTTGTGGCCACCAGCCGACTTTGGATGAGCAGAGGTGGGCTTTCCTCCTCCACCTGAGACAAACCTTGATTCTAGGACTGGATCCGGTTCCGAAATGGCATCTTGGGTCAGGTTGCCAGGCTGATCCTAGTCCTCCTTTGCATGCATGTTGTTTGTTCAATAAATCATGGATAACTTCCTCCTCCTCCTCCTCCTCCCCCTCATTTCCCCTCTGCATCAAGTGATTGACTAATATTCTTTGCAAACACCGTGTCCTTTGTGAAGGAGGAGCCTGTGAGTCAGAGCCTGATCAGCCACCTCTTTGCCCACCTGGCACTGAAGTCCCTGCTCCGAAGCCCTTTCTCCCACGAGAGTGACAAATGCAGAGGAGGCTTTCAAAAGGAGCCCCACGAAGGTCACGCTGCCTGGAAGGCCCCCTTTCCACCGGGAAGCATCACGTTTGCTCTGGCTTGAGGCTTCCTGAGGCCCACGGAGGAGAGCCGAGAGAAACGTAGGGCTGTGCACGGGACTAGAAGCTGGTAGGAAGACTCTGAGGACCGATATAGGAGAATGTTTGCAGCTCAGGGTTCAACCGTGGGGTCCTTGGTGTGCTCTGAGCTTGGTAGTTTTCTTGCAGGCGTTTCATAACCCAACTAGGCAACGTCATCAATGCTAAAAGAGGGGGGGGACTGTGAGGTCTTGGTACTCTCTGAGCTTGGTTGTTTTCTGGTAGACCTTTCGTGACCCAACTAGGTAACATCATCAGTGCTGGGGGGGGGAGGAGAATTGTAGGGTTCTTGGTAGTCTCTGATCTTGGTGGTTTTCTTGCAGACATTTTATGACCCAAGTATGTAACATCATCAGTGCCAGAATGGAGCAAGCTTTGCTCTCTGTTTATACCCCAGTCAAGGAACTGCCACCACAGTAAACAACAGCGTAATCAGGGAACCACCAACAACTGACAGGGCAAAACACTCATATATAAACCGAGAATAAGACCTCTCCCTTCTAGCACTGATGATGTTACCTAGTTGGGTCGTGGAACGTCTCAGGTTTTCTCCAGGAAATACCCAATTATAACCAAGAGTTTGGTTTTATAACTGTATAGTCTGGTCTTGGAGCCTGCCCTATTGTTTCTGTGGGTTTTGGTCCTCTCGGGAGTAGAAAAAGGTGCTGGCAGCAGCCAGGAGGGCCGGTGGGGACGTCTTGCCCCCTGGGGTACAGGGGGCATGTGGGGCCATCCCAAAAAGCTGGAAACTCTTCCCGTCCCAACCAAGAAATCCGTCTACCGTGTCACTAAAAGGAAACCGTGAGAGTGAATTGATGTCGTCTCTTTCTTCTTTTTCTTTCCCTTTTGTCTTTTTTTCCTCTTTTTTGCCCACCAGAAAAACTTAACGAACTGAATATAAAATATGTCATTATTTCAGCTCAGAGAAAACATCCATTGTTATCCGTTGCTTGAATGGATAAATAGAATTCTTTATTACAGTGCAATATTGAATCGCTTCCTGCGATTTCTTGGAATGCTTGTTTGAAGGTTATTTGGGCCATTTTGGTATTAAATATTCTTTGCTGAAGTGGATCTTGATGGTTTCAGCGGCTGGAGACAAAACCAGAACAGTCTGAGCCGGTTCCTAGCTGTAAGCCCAGCCGCATTGGGTTGGCTCCTCCCCTGGCAAGGCGGAGCCAAGGAGGGGGCAGGTCCTGGGGTGCTCTGGGGCTGGGCACCCTCAGCAGCCCCTCCCGGATGCAGCCGTGGGGATCAGAGGCCTTGCAGTTCTTCTGCCGATCTTTAGGGACACCTGTGGCCAGATGTTGCCTGCAAAGTTGGGGGGAGTCCCAGGAGGTGGGGCCAGCTCCTCCTCCTCCTCTTATCCCTTCTCTCCTTGCCACACAGGTGAACGGTGTGAACGTGGTGAAGGTCGGGCACAAGCAGGTGGTCTCGCTCATCCGCCAGGGGGGAAACCACCTGGTGATGAAAGTGGTCTCGGTCAGTCGCAAGCCAGAGTCAGAAGACCTCATTCGGAAGAAAGGTGAGTGCAGAGCAGACCCCGCCCTCCCTCTTTGGTTTGAGTCTCCCTCAAGGCTCTCGGCTGCCCTTGGGGGCTCCATTCTCCACGGCTGCAGCTGCCTCTCTGGGACAGGCACCGTTGCCCCTGCCTGCGGTTTGCCCTCCCCGTCCCCAAGCATCCGTTCTCTTGTCTTCTCCAGCCTGGTGGTCAGTTGTCCAGGCCTCCATGCAGGAAGCAGAAACCTGGTGAAATATTGCCCAGCAAGAGCTGGCCCCGAGTCCCATGGCCTAGGCCAAGGTAGACTCGGAGGGCACGTTGGTTCGGGGGGGGGGACACCCGTGGGGGAGGGAGGAGCTGTGGCAATAGCAGCAGGACCTAAGACGTATATACTGCCCCACAGTGCTTCATAGCTGACTCTGGGCAGTTTGCAGTGTCTGCATTATTTGCATATTGTCCCCCACAATCTGGGTCCTCCTTGGAAGGATGGACGGCTGAGTCAACCTCAAGCCCATCAGGATCGAAGTCCAGGCTGTGGGCAGAGTTTGCCTGCAATTCTGCATTTCAATCACTGCACCACCTGGTCAAGAGAGCAGGAACTTGCCACTCTGGCTGAGAGCTGACAAGTGCTCCCTTGGCCCATGTTATCTCAGGCAGAAGAGCGACAGCAAAGCTCTTCTGGCCCTGATGCTGTTCCCTAGTTGGGTCACGAAACGTCTGCAAGGAAACTACCAAGCTCAGAGAGCACCAAGGAGCCCTCAGATGTTTCTTCAGAGGCATCTAAGTGAGCAACTTGTGTCCTTTGGCCTTTTTCCTTATGGAGAAGATGCTTTCTGGAGCCCACCAGGAACTAAATGGTGCCCCTCATACCTCTCCGATTGGCAGCCCGAGAGACCATGGGTCCATGAGAGGGCAACATCTGAAGAGGAAAATTCGCTGCATGGGAGAGACCGGAGCCTCTGTGGCACAAAGGGAGCGGGGAAGTCACTCTTTGCCGAGTGGGAAGTGAAGGACCCCAAAAGAGAAGCAAGGGTACCCCCAGTTGTTCCTTTGCCCCCTGATGAAGAGTAGAAGTCCTCTCCTTCCACTTATCAGATGCCACCTTCTTGGTGGTGTCATTCTGGGGCTTCCTCCACCTTCTCTGCCGTCCCTTGTTGTCGTCCTAAGGAACATTGCAGCGTGCAGGATGAGGCCACTCTGGGGCTGAGCCTCATCAGGAAGGCTCCTTCTGTCCATCCCGAAAGGTGATGGAGAGAAAGGCTTCAGGGGGGCTGCAAGCCAGGGGACCCTGCCTGGAGCAGTGGGTACCAGGAGGGCCAGCAGCCACGCAGGATAGGCTCTGCTCCCCATCTCGCCCCGGCTGGCTTAACCCCTCCTTCCTCAACTGAATTGCCGGTTGAGAAATGCAGAGGTCAGGAGGTTGTCTGGTTGGCCAGATGGGAAGGCCAAGCGAGGCTTCCTGGCTTCTTTCTTTCTTCTCTTCTGGAAATGCCCCCTTGTCAATTCTGCAAACCCTTCCCCACACACATCATTCCTGCTGCAAGTCTGGACTCTTTCTTGCGGGGTACGTTCTCCTGGCCACCCCTGGCCCAGCCCCTCAAGGGCCTCCCCTGAGCAGGGAGGAAAGCACCCCGCTCTCTTGCAGGGCTGGCCTCAGGCCCAAATGCTGGGGGAGGTGACTCGTGCTTTGGTCCCAATTAGCGTCATCAATGGGTGGCTGGAAGGAAGCCCCTTCTCCCCCAGGCTTGGCCTGGGAGAAGGGAAAGTGGGCTGGAGGGCCCAAGGGGTCTCTGCCCCACACCCAGGCAGGCAGAGGGACCCTAAACTCAGCTCAGTCCACATTTCTGCTCTTGAATGGCCCTTGAATCCTTTCACTGGGGCGGGGGGAGGGGCTGAAATTCCCTGGATTGCTGTGAATGGCCGAAAGGGAAGGAAAGTGACGAACTCCAAGGGAGGGATAGCATTTTAACCCAGCTCCCCCCGCCCCAATTGCCAGAAAGTCAGAGGCAGAATCGAAGCAGAGAAAGGCGCAGGCAGAATCCCCTTCCTTGGTCTCTTCAGAAGGGAAAACAGAAGCTGCGAAATAGAGAGTGGAGAAGAGCTCAAAAATAGCCCTTATTCAACGTTAAACAAAAGGAGGAAGTCACGAACAACTTTGGGGCTTGCATTACATACAAGAGCGAAGTGGATAGTTGTTCTTACCCAATGCCGGCATGGGCTTCAAAAGCCCAGCAAAGGACGCCTACTATGCCAGGCGGGCATATTTGGTCGGTAGCCTCCATGCAACCCTGTAAGGTGGGCTTGAGGCCGAGAAGGGGGGTGTACCAGGAGACCAGAGTGGGGTATTTGATGGCAGGCGTTGGCCATGAAGTCTCTGTGCCAAGCAGGCACTGGAGGGCCAGGATGCCTCCCACACCGGGAGTTTGGCTCTGCACCATCCCGATGGACCAGTCAGTGTCTCTTCCACCGGAAGGAATTATTGGGGGAGGGGGCGCAGAAGGAAGCTGCAGAAGGCATCCTGGGCTCGCTCTTCAGCCCCACTCCCAACAAGCTGGCAGAAAGGGGCTCCCGCCTTTGCAGCGGAGGGGGGAGGGGGAGGAAGGTCGGTCGGGGGCGGGAGCCATAGACCACCCCCCCGGAGGGGAGGGGAGAGGCTCCCCGGAGCAAAGGGAGGGGAAGCAGCAGCCGCAGCCCGATGGCCGCAGTTGGAGGGCGGCTGAAGGTGGGCTGGGGAGGGTCCGGCAGCCTCCTGGGCGCGGCGCCTTCTCCGCCAGGGGCCCGGCCGGCCCGGCCCCGCCGCCCCCCTGCCCGCGCGGGGTCTCTGCTGCAGGCGGCGCCGGAGAAGCGGCCGGGCTGGTTGCCATGGCAACGGGGAGCGTGGCGGAGCCTGCATCGCTCGGGCGCCCGCGGGCGAAGTGACGAGCCGCCGCCCGGCAGATGGAGGGCGGGGAGGAGGGGGAGGCGCGCCCGGCGGAGAACCGCGCGGCCCGGCCTGGGCAAGAGGGCCGGCCGGCGGGACCCCCCGCCCGCTGAGCCAGGGCCCGCCGCCCGCCCGCAGAGGCAGCCCCGCGCTGCGCTGCCCGGCCGCGGGACGATGAAGAAGTTCGCCTCCACGCGCAGCCTGAACAAGATCCTGCAGCAGTGCGACTCCTCCTCGTCCCGCGAGTACGAGGAGATCCAGGCGGTGGAGAAGAAGTGGCACCTGCACCTGGCCGCGCCGCGCAAGCTGCTGCTGCCGCTGGACAGGCGCTGCAAGACGGGCTCTCTCTTCCTTGCAGCCCCGCCGCCGCCCAAGCGGGCGCCCAGCACCACCCTCACCCTGCGCTCCAAGTCCATGACCGCCGAGCTGGAAGAGCTGGGTAAGTGGCCCCGGGGGGCTCCCAGCCACGCCCTTTCCTGCTTTTGCAAGGAGCCCCCACCCCCACCCCCCACCCTCACCGAGCGTCTCTCCACCCCGGAGGCTTCTGTCCCTGCTCAGCTGCCGCTCCCGCCTGGCAAAGCCTTTGCCGAGCCGCCATCCGCCCACCCGCCGCGCTTGCATGCAGCCGCTGCCTTCCTTTCACGTCCCTGACAAGTCCTCCGCCTTGGACTTCGGCTCCCAGGACCCCTCGGTCAGGTGTTCCTGGCTGGGGAATTCTGGGAGTTGAAGTCCAGGCATCTTCGAGTTGGGTAACACTGGCCTAGAGGGTCTCCTTTCCGGACCCTGCCCAGGTTTCCCAGCAGGATCAGGGGTCTTTCTTGATCTGCCCAAAGTCCCCATGCACCTCCCCCCCCCCATTCCTGAGGGATGTTCCCAAAGAGAGGAGCAAGACTGCTGGTGGAAAGGACGCCCCAAAGAACACCCCTTCCTGAATGGAATCTACCTCTCCCAGGATTATGTTGCAGGATCCAATCTGAGTCGGTCACCGGGACCAGAGATTTGGCCTTCCAAACTTTCGGACTCCAGCACGAGTCCAAGAGCCTGGAAGATGAAATCTCTGATCCAGGTGACTGACTCGATTGGATCCTGCAGCTCCTGCCGGAGTCATCCTAGCACGCTTGAGGGAAACACTCCTCCAACCCAGACTTTCCCCGAGGGGCAGGGGGGGAGGGGACTCTGATCTCAGCCTCCCAAAGTCTTGCGTTCTCAGATGGGCATCAGGCGAGGGAAGGAAGGCTTCCCAAAAGGGTCTTGGGAGGTTCTCCTCCGTGTTGGTTGGGCAGCAAAGGAGGCTTTGCAGAGCAACGATTGGTTGCCTTGACCTCCTGCCCAGGGGTGGGTTTCACTGACCTTTGCTACCGGTTCACTCTCATGCGTGCTCTTGCTTTGTTCACGCGCACGCCACTTCTGTGCAATGGCAGAAGCTTCTTCGTTTGCACAGATCGCATTTAATGACCTCCGGGTGGGTGGGCGCAGCCTCCCACCGCCACTGCTACGAGCTCACCCGAACCGGTAGCAACCCCCGACTGCTCCTGCCCCCACAGAGGTCTTCTCCTGAAGAGCCAGGTTGGGCAATCCTAGCTCTCCCTCAGCTCTGCGCAGCCACCCAGTTGGGCCATCCCTTGTGGTCATCATCACCATCCCTTTTTTGGAGAACCTTGGATTGCTCCATCCCCCATGGTCCTTTTCAGCAACACACCTTTCGTTGACCAGCCCAGCTGCTGAAATGGCCACTTGGGCCTTGAGAGTCCTTTTCTCCCTAAAAACCATCCAGACCAGGCTGAGGGATGAGGGCCACTTGCCTCCTTCCCTCCCAGAAGTTTAGCCCAGCCGGGGACAGGCTGTCCTCTGGAAAGCAGGTGGGTTTCTCCAACCAGTGTGAGGATCACTGGTCACTAAGACCCCTGGATTGACCCCAGCACCTCCGCAGCCCCCCTCTTGGGCCAGGATGTGTCTGATGGTAGCTGACATCCTTCTTGGGCAGCTGGCATCTTCTTCAGTTTCTGCCATTTCCACTGACAGCGAAGTGCCTTGTGCAAGTGAAGAGAGTGGGGGGCTGGACCCCTGAGAGGCAATGGGGGGGGAGAAGGGGGTCTGGAAAGAGGAGCACCCCTAACCAGTCCTCTGGGAGGCATCCTGGTGCGCCATTCTCTAGCGCATCCTTTGAGACCCTCCCAGGGTCTTTACCTGAGGTTCTTAGGTGGTCCCCAGTGCCCCATTGACTTGACTGGCCCCTCCCCAGAGTTGTGATGCAGTGGAGGAAGCAGAGATGAACCCCAGTTTCTTTGGGGGCCACAGAGGGGAGAGAAGGAGGAAAATGGGCAGGGAAGGGCCAAGGAAAACTCGGATGCCCTGGTGCCAAGCCTCGCTGCTGTGGGGGAGCACGCATGCTGGGCGAGGGGCTGGGAGGGGCACGACGGCTGCCTTGTGGGGGACATGTCCAGGGCTGCATCCCAGAATGCTGCTCCCCCACCCCGCCTGTGAGGAGACCCTCACCCCAGGCCCTGTCTCCTCTTGGCAGAGGCAGGGGGTGCAGCCCAGGGGAGGAAAACCTGCCATCCTGCCACTGACGTCTTGTACTTTGTTTCTTGATTCCAAGCCTCGATGCGGAGGAGGAAAGGGGGTGAGTGCAACTCCCCATACCGGGGGTCCTCTGGGTATCAGGCGGCCCCTCCCACCCACCCTCTTCCCTCCCTCCCTCCCTCCCTCTCCAGTGGGGAAGAAGGTGCTTCCATAGCCAGTGCAAGGAAGGGGCCCTTGACGGCTCCGTCCCCAGAGGCCCCTGCTGGAGCCATAACTTTGGCACCGCTTCCAGATGTTCCAAGCCCTGGGGTGCCAGCCTTGCTGGAGGGAGCCAACACTGGAAGTGTTTAAGAAGAGATTGGACAACCATTGGTCTGAAACGGTAGAGGGCCTCCTGGTTAAGCAGCGGGTTGGACTAGAAGGCCTCCAAGACCCCTTCCGACTCTGTTATTCTGTTATTCCTGACGGTGAGAACAACCACTGGAACGGCTTGTCTGCAGAAGTTGTGGGGCTCCATCCCTGGAGGTTTTCAAGAAAAGATTGGAAAACCATTTTCCTGAAAGGGTGGAGCCAGGGCTTGGACAAGAAGGCCTTCAAGGTCCCTCCCAGCTCTCTGGTGCTGTTGTTCAGCAGGACCTGGCCAGACTGACCCGTGGGAGGGACCCTGAGTAAGGACTCTTGCCTTGGGTAGGGGGTTGGACTAGAAGACCTCCAGGGTCTTTCCAGCTGTTGGATTCTACAGTTCCCCTCTATTCCCTAAATGCAGCTTCCCATGATGCAATATTTGCTGATAAATAATGCCCACTTGGGCCTATCTAGGGATTCATTGAATTACCCTCCCAGCTCTCGGTTCTGCCCCCGTCACAGTGATGGAGCAGAGGTCACAAGGCAGCTCCTGTTATGGCCCAGGGAGGGGCCAGACCAGATTTTGGGCTGTAGTAATTCTTTCTCTCTTGCGTGGGGTGAGGTTGGGTGGCGAATGGGGTGCCAAGACCTTGTTGGTTCAATATGGCAGCTGGGGGATGTCAGGTTCAAGTTGGCATAGATTGGGCAGGTGATGGGGAAATGGTTCTTGATGGGTGGCCCATCAGGTTCCTCCTAGGAAGCCTCTCTGCCATTGGTCACTGCCACTTCTGAAGTGTGCCGGCACTTGAGGCCAAGGCGACTTCTTTGCTGCTTCTTGCTCTGCTGACCTGAACTGAGGATCAGCCCTCTGACTACTTCCCAATCAGGGACACCAGAGCCATGATGTGGTTCTGCCTGAGGCAGCCAAGGTTGAAATGGGTTTAGGTAGTTGCAGTTCAGCCTCCAGGAGCCTTAACGTGGTGGATTGTGACTTGGATCACCAAACTAAGCCATGTCACATCTTATATGTCAGGACATGGCAGGTCATAGGAAGACAGCAATTGTATTTTGTAAGCCCAGGTTGAGAACCGAGTTATGTGAGCCCAGCCAGTGAGTTCAGCAGGCTTCCTCAGACCAGAGAGAGATCTTCCAGCCGTGTCCCCACATTATATTAAGTCTGCTTGATCTCTTTCAACATGATGCATCTTGGCTGCAGGCCAGGAGATTCAGGGTTTGGGGTGCCAAAGGATGCTTGCAAAAAGAGGACAATCCATGGCCTGGAAGAGCTGTTGAAGAGCACCAAGTGCCAGAGGCCTTGGAGGCCCTTCCTGAGCTGGAGAAGGACCTGGAGAAAGGGAGGGGATGCCAGAACGGAGATGGACATGGGCAATTCCGCAGGGACATCTGTCCAGGCGTTCTCCAGCAGGAGGTGGCGGGATGGGCGAGGGGGAGAAGCTGGAGCATCAAAGCCACAGAAAGCCCTCGTCCTGCAGAGTCTTGCCAAGAAGTTGTCCTGGCCCAGCCCCCTACCTGGGGAGTTGGGAAAGGATCTAGCAGCCAGGAGAGGCGGATGGATCCCGCAGGGCAGACGGGTCTACCAGAGCTCCCTCGTGCAACAGCCCTCCTGGAAGGAGAAGAAACCTTGGAGGCTGCAAGGACCAGAAGGAAGTTCCTGACACTGAGAACAATTCATCAGTGGAACGACCTGCCTGCAGAAGTTGTGGTTGCTCCAACACTGGAAGGTTTTAGGAAGAGATGGGACACCCATTTGTCTGAAATCGTATAGGGTTCCTTGCCTGAGCAGGGGGTTGGACTAGAAGACCGCCAAGGTCCCTTCCAACTCTGATATTCTGTAAAATGCGCCCCTCGTTCACCCAAGTAGTGCCACTCCAGACTGCTGCCCCAATAGCATTTCTCTGGGGGGGGGGAGAGGGATTGTGAATAACTGCAAAGGGGCTGCTGGGTAGGGCAAGGGTGAAATGCCCTTTTACTCACATCCCGGAAAAAATCCCCCCCCCACAACGCAGGGCTGACTTGCCCTTGTAGTGAAAACCAACCTCAGAAATATGTTTGCAAGGAGGGGGTGGCAAGCTGATAAACAACCCTCCCCTCCCCCCACAGGAAGCCAGCCAATGCCCAGAGCAGGCAGCGGAGAAGAGAAAGGCGGGCAGGGTCCAAAGAGGTCCAGAATCATCCCAGGAATGCTGGTTTGGGGCCTGTTAGGGAGGTTTAAGGGTGGGAGACTCGGTTCTGGCAATAGAGGAATCCTGCTCCCACCTGCCCCACCGAAAGAGGACAAATGTTTGGGCCCACCAGTGGTGCGTTGCTCCTGGTTCTCATAGGTTCGCAAGGACCAGTAGTAAAAATTTGTAGTAGTTCAGAGAACCGGTAATGACATTGGCTGGCCACACCCCGGAACCAGTCCCCGGCCGGGTTGACGCTCGCTTACCCCGCCCACCTCATCAGAGGCTTTTTTTTTTTTTTTTACTTTTAAAAGTATTTTTTCTACAACCTCTTCGGCCAAAAAAATGCTTTTAAAAGTAAAAAAAAAATGCCTCTGATGATCACGCAGCTCAGCTGGGATCATCAGAGGCTTTTAAAAGCATTTTTTTCTGCAACCTCTTAAGGTTGTAGAAAAAATGCTTTTAAAAGAAAAAAAAAGTTGGCCATGCCCACCCACTCACATTAAACCCCCACCAAGCCACGCCCACAAAATAAGCCATGCCCACCGAACCCATAGTAAAAAGTTTCAGAACCCACCAGAACCCCTGGGGCCCATCCATTCCAAGGGTTGCCCGTTCTCCAGGCTGCCTTCTGCAAGGATTTAGGCTGGGCAGCAGCTCCTGATTGTACCAGTATCGGACAAGTTCGACCCCAATTTGGACAGGCCAACTTGCTGAGTGAGGTGTCTGTTTAGCTGAAGCCATTGGGCAGGAAGGAGGTGATGACCGCTTGGCTTTGGTGACCGTGTGGCCTGAGAAGCTCCGGTCAGATTTCGGGCTGTGTCTTAAAATCAGAGATGGGAGCTTGCGCCAAAGGCCCAATGTCCCATCTGGAACGGAAGGTGAAATCGGTGATGATTCCTGCTAAAAGCATCGTTGCAGTTTTCCCTGGAAGAGCCCGAGGGAAGAAGGTCTCAGCAGCAGTTCAACTCGCAGGAGGAATTGGCCTCTGTGACTCTCACAAACAGATTCTGCCCAACTCACAAGTGCCGAAGCTTCTTGGACCTGGTTTCGTCACAGCTTGCAGCTAGGAGGCTTTTCACCGTGGCTTGTTTTAAACTCGTGAGTGCCTGGTTCAAAGATGGTGGCTGAGTTGACGCTTCATGTGGGCTGGAAATCAGGTGCTGGCCAAGACCGTTGGATCCAGGAAATGTAGTGAAGGTCACAGCTGGCAGATGGTCTCCTGCCCAGCCACGTCCAGAAATCGGATACCATTACAGCAAGGTAGATGACCGGAACCCAGAGCTCTGTGGCCGCCAAGGTCTCCAATGTTGATCTCCAATGTTGTTGGAGACTCTAGAAACTAGAGTGCAGAGAAGAGCAACAAAGGCGATTAGGGGACTGGAGGTTAAAACATAAAGAACGAATGCTGGAATTGGATATGTTTAGTTCAATGAAAAAAAGGACTAGGGGTGACATCGGGTGAAATGCTACCAGTTCGCTCCGGTTCGGGCGAATCGGTAGTGATCAAAACTACCGGTTCAGGTGAACTAGTATTTAAAAAATGCTTTAAAAAAGTTTTTAAAAAAAGGTTCTGACAATCGCACGGCACAGCTGTAATCGTCAGAACTTTTTTTTTTTTACTTTTTAAAACATTTTTTTACTACCGGTTCAGGGGAATAGGTAGTAAAAAATGCTTTAAAAAGTTTTTTTTTAAAGTTGGCCACACCCACCCAGTCACATGACCCCACCACCACCAAGCCACGCCCACAGAACCCCTGGGTGACATGATAGCAGTGTTCCAATATTTGAGGGGCTGCCACAAAGAAGAGGGCAGGACAAGAAGCAACAAATGGAAACCAATCAAGGAGAGGAGCAACCTAGAACCAAGGAGAAATTTCCTGACAGTTAGAACAATTAACTGCTGGAACCGCTTGCCACTAGAAACTGGATTCTCCAACACTGGAAGTTTTTAAGAAGAGATTGGAGAACCATTTCTCTGAAATGATGTCTGGTCTCCTCCTTGAGCAGAGGACTGGACTAGAAGACCTCCAAGGTCCCCTCCGACTCTGTTATTCTGCTAACTCTCTGAAGGCCTGAAATCTGGTCTCTTCTTCCGAAGCCCTTCTCTGTCTTCATGAGCCAAGAGTGGAGATTCTGGGGTTCTGGCTGAACTTCATATTTTGAGAAGATGGAAAGGTGGGAGACGGTGGCCCCATCTTCTGCCCCCAGATGGGGACTAGAGTCAGGATCCTGCAAACGCTGCTGGTGGAACTTCCAGCATCCCAGCTCAGGTGGAGAGCCTTCTCTGTGGTGGCACCTACCCTATGGAACAATCTACCCCCAGAGATACGAGTGATCTCCGACCTCCGGACTTTTCGTCAGGCCCTAAAAACTGACTTTTTTCCGTTAGCCGGTCTGTCTTGATTTTAGGGTTAGTTTTAAAATTTTGATATTGATTTTAAATTGACAAGTTTTAAATTACGGGCCAAATTTATTAATTATTTTAACTCTATTTTTAACTGTAAATGTTATGTATAGATGTTTTTACTTTGGCTGTTCACCGCCCTAAGTCCGAAAGGAGAAGGGCGGTATAGAAGTTTGAATAATAAATAAATAAATAAATGTGGTCATTGGCCAGGGACAAGTGGCCCCAGTTCTGGTTTTAAGGAGGCAGCTGAGTTGGGAGGCTCTTTGGCTGGACTTTGTCAGGAACCCAAGAGGCTGTGGTCGCCTAGGCCATCATGGCCTGGATTGAGTTTGTACAACCTACACTTAACCTCGTTAGTGAATTAAGCCCATTTTCTGTGTACACCCAACGCAGTGAATCATGAACCCCCCAACACACTAAACCCCTAAGCTGTTGATTTTTCAGCTACTGGACCTCAACTCTCTCGGTTAAGTTCTGTTCTGTGAAGGGAACCAGGTGGGGGTGGGGGTGGGGCAGCCCTGGGGATGGAAGCGAGGGCAGGATGGCTGCCCAAGGAGTTGAGGGCTCATGTTGGAAGCCCTCCAGACCCAAGTTGCTTTGTAATCGCACCCAAATATGACTCTTGCCCTCTTGCTTGTGGGCCGAAGTACCATGGAAAGGCCTGACGTGGCAGTGAGGAAGCCTCTTTGATGGGGGGGGAGATGGATCTTGCCCAGCAGAAGGCAAGGACAAGTAAGGAGAGGAGGTCCAAAGACTTGGAGGGGCACAGAAACCCTTCAAGAAGACAGAAACCAAAACATTTCAGGAACAGGAAGTCAGGATTCTCTTCTCTTCTGCTTGTTCTGTTAAAACGGGGGTGCAGAATGATGGCCCCTTTGTGACTTGTGGACTTCCACTCCCATGCCGGTCGAGGAATTCTGGGAGTTGGTCCACAAGTCCATCGTTCCCCACCCCTGTCTTAAAAACAAAATCCCAGAAACCCAAAGGGGGCGAAGTTCATCTTCTGAGCACTTGACTCCGGGAAGGCGGAGAAGTTCTCCTTTCTGAGCCGACTTGGCTTCCTTCGGCTGCAGGGATGCTCGGGGCTCCTTCAGATTTTCGGAGCAGCTTAAGGAGGAGAAGCTTGTAAGTTGCTCAGCTCTGACCTGGGAAGGTCCCTCAGCAGTTGGGAAGGCTTGGGTGCCTTTAGAGGAGGAAGTTGGTGCCCCGTCCATCTCTGAGGAGCTTAGAGGAGACCCTCCTCCACAGGGTGGCAGGGGCAACAAGTTCCAGGTTCCGCCTTCCGAGCGCTCCCCACTCTGCAGGGCAGCCTAAAGCCCACAGCAGGGCACGGTTGGCGAGGGCCGGCCCAGCTAACTCGGTCCGGTGTCTCTGACTTTGCAGAGAAGCTGGACGAGATCTTGGCAGCGGCTGAGCCTTCGCTGAGACCAGACCTGGTGGAAGCGGATTCCCGAGCAGCCACCGTGAAGCAGAGACCGACCAGCCGGCGCATCACCCCTGCAGAGATCAGTGTGAGAGGGCTGGGCTGGGGGCTGCACCCCGGGGCCAAACGGAGGAAGGTCTGCTGAGGCGAGCTTTGCCCGGACGGGTTTCCGCTGCAGCCGTGTTGATGCCAGCCAAATGACCGCATGGCAGCAGCACGATTGAACCGGCCTTTTGCAGACCGAAATATTTGTCCTGATCAGAAGGCAACGTTAACATTTCCAGGGTGGGAAGGACTGAGGCTGGCTGCCCTGAGCCCCTTGCGCGCTCCCTTGGCAGACAGAGGCTGCCCCCTTGCCAGGACTGCCGCCTGGCTACCAGGACAAGGAGGTCCACCCTCACCAAGGCCCCATGGTTGAACTCCAGCTGATGCCAGCAAGGCCTGGTCAGGCTGGAACACGGGCAGTCCTCGACTTACGACCACAATTGAGCCCAAAATATCTGTCGCTAAGTGAGACAGTCAAGGGAGTTCTGCAACCTTTTTCGGACCCTCCCTGCCCCTGTTGTTAAGTGAACCCCTGCCGTTTTTAAACTAGTCACACGGTTGCTAAGTGAAATTGGCTTCCCATTGACTTGGCTTGTCCAAAGGTTGCAAAAGGGGAACACACGACCGTCATAAGTACGTGCCAGTTGCCAAGCCTCTGAATTTTGACCACGTGACCCCAGGGACGCTGCAACGGTCATATAGGTGAAAAACGGTCATATGTCACTCTTCAGTGCCATTGTAACTTCGAACGGTCACTAAATGAAGAGGTGTAAGTTGAGGACTGCCTGTGGATGGGCCTGGGGGCTCCCTTGCGGCCCTTCCCTGCCCCCAGGCCAGTGTTTGAAGGAGGGGAGGGAGGAGGGGAGGGACCTCCGGCCCGAGCAGGTGGGACTTGCCATGTCTCCTTTCTTTTCCAGTCCCTCTTCGAGCGCCAGGGCATGGCCACCCATGCAGGGCCGGAGAAGCCCCACATCTCCCTCCGCAAAGGCCTCCCGCGGACCAAGTCTGTAGGTAAGTGGGGTCTTCTCGGGCTTTCCATGAGGCCCCGTGGGCAGGAAGCGGCCGGCCTCGTCTGGACCTCCAGCAGCAAAGCCCCAGTTCAGCGGTCCAGAAAGCCAAGAAGACGGCTGTGATGGATGCCCCACCCTAATTAGGATTCACAACCTTTCAAAGGGAGGGGGGTAGGGTTCCTCTAAATGCCCCTGCCCCTTTCTCTAGGGCGGGGGTCTCCAAACTGGGCCACTTGAAGACTTGTAGGCCTCAACTCCCAGAATGCCTGGGCAAGAAATCCTGGGAGTTGAAGTCCACAAGTCTTCAAGTGGCCCAGTTTGGAGACCCCCGCTTTAGAGGGAGCAACGAGGGGCATCCGAGAGGCTGCCTTTGGTTGCCTGGAGGGGTCCCTGACTCGATCACCCCTAGAAGAGCGAGGCCCTTCTTGGTTTGGCTGCTTCTGAAGCAGCAGGGAAGTCAAACAGCTGAGTTCCCCTCGTGCAGCTGTTGGCTTGGCTGACTGGCAGGTTGCCCCTTGGGCTGGCCCTTGGGTACGCATTGCCTGGTGGTGGCACATGAGTGAGATGCTTGTTCCCGGGAGACCTGCACGAGTTGCAGGTGTGAACCAGGCACTTTCCCTGACTAAGCCGTCTTCCGTGGGAACTCGGACAAGAGTTTCCTGGTGAGAGAGCCCTGATTGACAGTCGAGGCTGCTGCTGCCTGATCACGTCCCGTCTACCTTGGCTCTTCCTAACACAGCGCCATGTCTGAGAAGACATTAAAAGGACCCTGTGACTCTGAGCCAGATCCCAAGGATTTCTTCCAACCGTGCAGATGATCCCAGGGACCCACCCGGCTGGTGCGGCTGCTCTTCACTCAGCTGATTTGAGAGCAGGGCTCCAGCAATGCAAAACACAAACTTTACGGAAGGAAACGGATGTACCTGCCCGTTCTTACTTCGCCTAGCAGGGCATCAGCAGAACGAATGTGTGGGGGGGGGGGAGGAATACCAGAATTTCAAGCAACGCAAGGAAAAAAATCCTGCTGGAGCTGAAAATAATTCAGGGCTCTGGAATGAAGAGTTCACCTTGTCAGGTTTTAATTAAAAAGGGGGGGTGGGGGGAGAAGGGGAAGTAGCAGTGGGAGAATTCCAGCTGGACCCAGAGCAGAAGAGGAAGCTGGGGGGGCAGGCAGAGCCGTGGGGAGCCCATGGGGCTTCCGGTGACACCTCAAGGGGTTGCTGCTGCTCCACCATCTGCCAGCACTCAGAGCGATGTTGTAGGGCGTCTCCCCGCCAGGAGAGATGCCAGTCTCCCCGCTTGTGGGAAAATATTCTGGGCACAGCAAGAGCTGACAAACAGCAGTGATTCACAGCCCAGAAGCTTCCGAGCAGGTTTTTTCCTCTGCGTGATCCGGAAATTCGTCGGAGCCAAGCAGCAATGCAGGAATGCATCTCTGATGGGATTGAGGCCAGGATCCGACCCTCCAAGGGATGCCAAGGGAAGAAAGCGGGAGGAGAAGGAAGGGGGGAATGCAGAACTGGTTGTGTTGCAGCTGGAATCTTGGGCCCAAGGATTGTGCTTGCCGTGATGCAGGAGTCTACAACCTTTGCAACTTTTGAGGTGTGTGAACTTCAACTCCCAGAATTCCTCAGCCGGCATGGCTGGCGAATTCTGGGAGTTGAAGTCCAGAAGTCTTAAATTTGCCTAGTTTGGAGAGCCCTGGTATAAAAGGACGGCATTGCCTGTGGCCAACGGCACCTGGGCCCTGGCTTTAGAGCCCTCTTGAACCGAGCATCTCCTCTGACCCTAGGGCCCTGTCTGGCGGTGGGCATCGGCAGGACAGGCTGCCCTATAGAGCCCCCTGCCTGGCGGGGGAGACAGGCTGCCATTGCTCTGCTTCCTCCCTCTGGCCTCCCCACGGTCCTCCCCCAGAACCCTCCCGATTCTAGCAGGGTCTTCATAGAGATCTATAATTGCCTGTTTTTATCTGTTTTTTCCATTTTTTCTTACGCTCTGCTTTTGTCTTGATGTTCTGGCAGCTCGGTTGGGTGCCAGAGTTGAAAGGCCGCATGCAACTCCACTTCCCAAATCCTTAACACTTTCCTGCAGCCCCTCCCCATAACCCCCATTTCCTGGCTGTTGGCTGCCTACAGAGAGAGGCCTCCTTCCGATGGACAAAGCGGGGGTTTCGACCTACAACCACTCGTTTAGGGACTTCAAAGCTACAACGGCATTGGAAAAAGGGGCTGGTGGCCATTTTTCACAGCATCCCCATGATCACGTGATCAAAAGTTGGACGCTTGCAACTGACTCCTATTTATGACGGTCGCAGTGTCCCAGGGTCACATGATCCCCGTTTGCTACCTTCCGACAAGCCAAGTCAATGGGGAAGCTCGATTCGCTGAACGACCATGTTAGTAACTGAACTGCAGCGATTCACTTAACAACGGTGGCAAAGAAAGGTTATAAAAAGGGGCAAAACTCACTTAACGACCGTCTCACTCGGCCACAGAAATTTTGGGCTCCATGACATAATTCGAGGGCTGCCTGCATTCCCCAGTCTGCTCCGTGAAGGAGTGTGTCATCGCAGCAGTGTTACTGTGCACATGGCATACGTGGCATCATTTGTGTGATGGCCTCGGCGCAAATGGCAGGAAGGGCAGTGGGAGGGGGTCCTGGGCACACGAGGCTGCTTGTGTTGGCCAATTCGAATCCCCCTCGAGGGGGCTGATCCTAGCATGACTTGCAGAGGCTGCAGCTTCACTCCGCGCCATGGAGATGCCCGGCCCACCACAGCCTGGAAGAGGCAGGGCAACTGTACACAGTGTCTGTTCCCCGGGACCTTTGCGCATTATGCTGCCCTGGGCAAGAGGACACTGCTGGCGTGGTTCTGCTCGGCAACATCGTTCTTCAGGTGCCTGACTCCAGAGGAATACGGATCCCTGCTCATGGTGCAAAGGGCTCCTTGCAAGAGATTCGGTGAAAATTATTCCCCCTTAATTGGCCTTCCCCAACTTCCAAGGCACGTCAGCCGGCCTGCACTGCACCGTCCCGGTTAGCAGTCCTGGGCATCGGTCTGCAGCTGTGGGCCTCCCTCCCATGCCGATTCCTGACTGAAGAATTCCAACCACCAAAGGAGAATATTTGTGGCTCAGGGTTGAAATGAGGGGTCCTTAGTGTGTCTCTGAGCTTGGTTGTTTTCTTGCAGACGTTTTATGACCCAACTAGATAATGTCATCGGTGCTAGAAGGAGGTGGGAGGAGGAGGACCGTAGTAGGGTCCTTGGCGCTCTCTGAGCTTGGTTGTTTTCTTGCAGTTTCATTACCCAAACTAGGTAATGTCGTCAATGCTAGAAGGGAGCAGAGTTTGCTCTCTCTTTGTATACTAATAGCAATAGCACTTAGAGTTACATACCGCTTTGCGGTGCTTTACAGCCCTCTCTAAGCGGTTCACAGAGTCAGCCTATTCGCCCCCAACCATCTGGCTCCTCATTTACCCACCTTGGAAGGATCAAAGGGTGAGTCAACCTTGAGCCTGGTGATATTCGAACTGCCAAATTAAAGGTAGCTGGCAGTCAGCAGAAGGAGCCTGTAGTATTGCACTCTAACCACTGCGACACCTCATTTACCCTGTCGCTTTTGGTGGGGGTATTCTTTTTGGTTTATTTATTTATTTATTATTTTTTTGGTGGGGGTATTCTTGATGGTTTCTTGATTAGGCTGTTTACTCCCCTCTGGCACTGATGAAGTTACCTAGTTTGGTCATGAAACGTCTGCAAAGAAACAACCAAGCCAGAGAGCACCCAGGACCCCTCAATTCCAACCGTCTACAGTGAAGCTGCCAATGGGTACCCCAAGCCCCAAACCTCATTTGCAGGCTTTGTAATCCATTTTACTGGCCAGTCAAAGGGAGAGAAGCAGCGTTTTACCTCTCAAAAGAGCTGCAACTTTTCCTCTTTTGCTGTTTTTTAGGCGAAGATGAAAAATTTGCGGCTTCCCTAATGGATGGAAAATTTCCCCGGAGTACGTCGATGCAAGACACCGTCCGAGAGGGCCACGGCATCCCGCCCCCACCACAAACCGCTCCACCCCCACCCCCCTCCCCCTACTACTTTGACACGGGCCCGCCCCCCACCTTCTCCCCGCCCCCACCCCCAGGGAGGGTGTACGACACCGTCCGGTCCAGCTTCAAGCCGGGCTTGGAGGCCAAGCTGCACGGGCTGCCACCGGTGATCAGCGCAGCCGAGATGTATGACCAGGCCAGGGCTGGCATCCCTTACCCCGAACGGCAGAAGCGGGCCCGCTCCATGATCATCCTGCAAGACTCCTCCCACATCCCCGTGGAGCCCACCGACATCCCCCGGCCAGGCCCCTCAGCCACCCCGCCAGAGAAGCTGAAGCGGAAGGGGCGCGGGGCGGACAACCCATACGCCAACATGGGCCAGTTCAATGTCAGCCTCTTTGCCCCCACCAAGCCCCAGCGCAAGAAGAGCCCCCTGGTCAAGCAGCTGCAGGTGGAGGACGCGCAGGAGCGAGCGGCACTCTCTGTGGCTGGGGGCTTCCCCCGGGAGCCCTCCCCCACCCGGAGGGGCCACCGCCTGAGCGGGATGGAGTTCACCTCCCAGCAAGTGGACACCGCCAGCCTGCCCTTTGCCACAGCGGTCACGGGGGCCATGAAGGAGCGAGACCGGCGTCTTGATGAGAAGCGGAAATCCACTGTCTTCCTTTCCGTGGGTGCCATAGAGGGGAGCCCCCCCACCATAGACATGCCATCGCTGCAGCAATCCCGGTCCATCGATGAGCGTCTGCTGGGGAGCCGGGATGTTCTCCTGCCTTCCCCCGTCTCTGCTTTAAAGCCATTCCTCAGCAGTTCCTCCTCAACGTTCATACACCCCCTAACGGGGAAGCCCCTCGACCCCAACTCCCCCCTGGCGCTGGCGCTGGCCGCGAGAGAGCGAGCCCTCTCCACCCAGGTCTCCTCCAGAGTGGCAACCCCCATCCACAGCCCCGACTCCGATCGGGCGGCGCCCTTGTTTGTGGACATCCAAACCAAAGAGCAAGAGAGGGGTGAGCTGGAAGGCCGGGGATCTCCCGCCTATTCTCCAGGAGCCAAGGTGGCGACACCCAGCTCCTTGACACCTACCCAGAGCCCCTGGGGGATGCCCGGAAGTGCAAGGAAAGAGGGCGAGGCACGAACTGAGACCCCAGTGAAGGAGATGGTGGAGAAGAAGGTGGAGGAGAAGAAGGCCATGATCCTCAGCATCCTGGACACCTCGCAGCAGAAGACCGCCGGCCTCATCATGGTGCACGCGACAAGCAACGGCCAAGACCTCGGCTTTGATGTGATGGAGGAGAAGACCCCTGTCCCAGAGGGGGGCCCAGAGCCAGTGGAAGTGTCCATGATGGAGGCTCAGCCCAGTCCCGTGGGGAAGGCACCTGTCAGCCCAGTCTTGGACAAGACTCTTGGACAAGGGAGTTCGGAGGAGGAAGTAGAGACCTACACGGTCACTCTGCCGCCCGCGCAGCTGTCCTCGAGCGATGAGGAAACCAGGGAGGAGCTGGCGAAGATTGGCCTGGTGCCGCCACCTGATGAGTTTGCAAACGGGGTATTGGTCACCACCGCTGGCACACCTATCAGCCAACTGGCTGCTCCAGCCATCACCCCGCCATCCGTGCCAGCGGCAGTGGCCCTACCTTCTACCACTGGTGGAACACCCTCAGGGAAACCCTCTGATGCCCCCACCGCCCCAGAGTCTGCCGCAGACTCGGGAGTGGAAGAGGTGGACACCAGAAGTTCAAGTGACCATCACCTGGAGACCACAAGCACCATCTCCACCGTCTCCAGCATGTCCACACTGTCCTCCGAGAGCGGGGAGCCCACCGACACCTACACCTCCTTTGCAGATGGGCACACTTTTGTACTCGAGAAGCCGCCAGTGCCTCCAAAGCCGAAACTCAAGTCCCAGACCAGCAAGGGGCCGGTAACCTTCAGGGACCCACTTTTGAAGCAGTCCTCGGACAGCGAGCTCATCTCCCAGCAACACGCGGCCATCCTGGCTTCCGCCAGCGTCGGCCGGCCACGCTACCTCTTTCAGCGAAGGTCCAAGCTGTGGGGGGACCCCCTGGACAGCAGGCCCATCCACGGGCCGGAAGATGACAAACCAACTGTGATCAGCGAGCTCAGTTCCCGGCTGCAGCAGCTGAACAAGGACACGCGCTCCCTGGGGGAGGAACCTGCCGGTGGCGTGTTAGACCCTGGAAAGAAGCCTCCCGTGGTGGCAGCACGGTAAGACCCTCTCCCCGTGCCCAGCCGGACAGGAGGGGGTTGCAGGCGGCCTCCTGCCCTTCCCCAGAGTCCGTCTACCTTAGCCAGGCAGGCCCTGGTTCAGCAAGGCCCCCTGCTTCCAGAGGGGGGAAGATGCCAGAATGATGTTTTAGGATTTGTCCCCATCTAGATTCGGGGAGGGGGATTTGGGAAGAATGCTAAGCCCCCTCCCACTTGTCCATTTCTTCTTTCTCCTCCTCATCCCCCCCCCCAGCTTGGCGGTTCCAGAGACCTCAGGCAGACAACAGGCAGAGGCTCCATCCTTCCTCACACGCACACCCCCTGTGTAAAACCTGCACGCGTGCCTCCCCTTCCCATAATGTCCCATTGAAGTCAAGCCACTTGGAGGCTTGGTCCCTGGCAGGAGAGTGAAACCAGCCTTTCCTCCTCCTGCTGGTGGAGAAACCCCCGAGCTCGGAGCTGCCGCCATCCCATCCTGTTTTACCTGCAGGTGTGAAAAGGGATACAGGCAGTCCTCAATTTACAACAGTTAGTTTTGTGACCATTCAAGATTACGACGACACTGAAAAAAGTGACCGGTGACCGTTTTTCACAGAGACGAGTTTTGCAGCCTCCCCAGGGTCACGTGATCAAAATTCAGACTCTTTATTTTTGACGGCTGCAGGTCTTTTGTGACCTTCTGCAGATTCATTTAACAACTGGCTTACTATCTTATCGACTGCAGTGATTAACAACTGTGGCAAGAAAGGTCATAAAATGGGGCAAAACTCACCAGAAATTTTGGGCTCCTTTGTGGTCGTAAATCGAGGACTGCCCACATTTAGCCAAGTGGAGATGGGTGCAAGTGGGTGCTAAGGAAGACCCCTGGGGAAGCTGTTGGGGAGGCCTTCCTTCTCGGGTTCAGGGCCTGGGGCCTCCGAAGGCCTTGACTGCACCCATCCTGGAGGGGCCTTGTGGGTCAAAGGGGAGGGGGAGGATTCTCTTAATGAGGAGGGAGGGATCTGCGCAGACGCACATCCCCCAGTGAAAGGAAGGACCCTCAATTCATAAACCCTTGAAGAGGAAAAGGCAAGGAAGCAGCAGAAATGAGGGCGGGGTTCCCCGGGGCCCTGCCTTATTCAGAGATGTGGAATAGCAGTATACCAAAGTTGGAAGGGACCTCAGAGGTCTTCTAGTCCAATCCCTTGATCACGCTGGCTGGGGAATTCTGGGAGTTACAGTTCACACGTCTTAAAATTGCCAAGGTTGGACACCCTTGCCCTATATAGATCTTTCTGGAGAAATCTCCTGTCCAGCCTCCTTTTAAAATCCTCCCGTGATGGAGCATCCACAACATCTGGTCAAATACACACACACACACACATATTCGGCCATTATAACAGTTACCCCAGATCTCTTCTCTGAGTAACCATAGAATCCAGTGGGTGGCATGCTCAAATAGGAGGCTATTTTATGTCCCTCCTTCAGTCTCTTTTCATTTTGGACGGATTTTGTTTTCGGTTTCCCCCCCCCCCCCCCCCCCCCCCCGGTGCCTCGTATAAAATCTCACGGAATTTTTCCTATCCTGAATAACTGACAAATCCCTCTTCCCCTCCCCTCCTTTGGCCAAAGACGCCCACAAGAAGATCAGCCAACAGTAGATCCCACAGTAGATTCTTTTAGTGATCAACAAATTTGAACGCTTCAGGCAATGCAAATAACATGCCAAAATTTCCTTCTAAGAAGCCATTTCCAGCTTGAGCCCCCTCTGGCCCCTTGGGGGGTTTAGGACCCCAAACCGTCCCCCCCAGCCGCAGCAATCCCTCTGGGAGGCCTCCCAGCCTCAGGTGCAGCCGGAGTGAGAATCCAATGGAGATAAGAGCCAGGGAGAAGATGGGCTGTTGGAGCCCACTCCTAGGGGCAGGACAGGTCCCTGACATGAGCAGAGAAAACCATGGCGGCTTGGTCTCCTGCATGGGAAGCTTTGGCCACCTTAACTCAACCTTGGAAAGTCCTAGAAAGAGGCTGGTGGCCTCTCAGGGGACCCTTCCCATTTCTCCTAGAACTGAAAAGGCGTGTTTGAGCAGACCCTCTTCCATTTGAGACCCCTGCTGCACTGCATAGAACGGGTGGGCAACTATGGCCCCTTTATGACCCTTGGACTTCAACTCCCAGAATTCCTGAGCCAACACGGTTGACTGAGCAATGCTGGGAGTTGAAGTCCACAAGTCTTAAAAGCTGCCAAGGTTGGACATCCCAGAGTGTCATCTGAGCTCAGGTTGGTTTTTTCCCCCCAGTTTATCTAGAAGTGTAACCTGCTCTAGTGGGAGGGGTTCTGGGGGGGGGGGGGGGGGGGGGAACAGAAGGAAGAAGAGGAGGAAGGAGAAGAGAAAGGATATGATTAGTTTGTGTTTCCAAAACCCACCATTGCTTTGTATTCTTACAGATCTGACCAAGACCCTGAAGAGAATTAAACCATTTAAGCCTTTTAGCCTCTAGGGTAAACCTTCCTCTTCCTCTGTGTCCTGGCTCCATAATTCTCAGCTGAAACCGCTGGTGTCCTGGTCTGAGCTTCCAACTAAGGCAATTAACACCTTACCAATTTCCTTGTAGGCTTTGTTGCCATGACCTCACACGCCCCGAGGTCTGATGATCCCAAAGGTGGGCAAATTGAGGGCAAAGGCGTCTCTTAAGGCAGCTTCTTCTCTCCTGTTGGAAGCCGGTCTGGAGGAGGGTCTTCCCCGGATCAAGAAGTGTGTTTTGGCCCCAGGGGTCCGAAGGAGACATAGCAGCACTCGGCTCTTCCCTCTATTTGGCTGCATTAGACATTGGTTGGTCAAGCGCAGCAATCTCCTAACTTGGTCAACTGCCAGGCAGAAGAGAGTTCTGGGAGTTGAAGTCCACAAGTCTTAAAGGGGCCACGTGTGGAGAACCCTGGCCTGGTGTGCTGAGAGCACGTTCGCCCTGCGTGTTGGGCCCTTTGGTAGAGAGCCTCGTTCTTCATCCCTGCAAGAGAGGCATTAAATTATCCATAGACTTGATTTCCGTGCCAGACCAATAATTCTTTTGCAAGGTCACTGCACAACCATTAACCATCACCCACACACAAGAAGCCTCTCTTAAGAATTAAAGAGCGGAGCTGAGCGGAGGGGAGAAGCGCTTCTCTCACATGCCTCCGGGCCCACGTTCACAGAGTGAGAAGGGGACTTAGAGATCATCTTGCCCAACTCTCTGCCTGGCATAAACTACACAGCTAGGGGGGCTCCAGTGGAGACCTGGTGGTCTTCCTTGGGATGAGGCAATCTCATTGATGCCCACTGCAGTTGGGCTTTGGCTTTGACCCGCTTGTAACTTTGATAAGACCCATTTTAAAAATGCATGGTGTTGGGCCTGGAAGCCATCTTTTGTACTGGGTAATCCCCCCTCCCCAATTTCTCACAGTAGTAAATGTGGCAGGTCTGAAGGGCCGATACAAAAGATGGCTCCCAGGCCTGACACATAGCCCATCTGTGTGCTTAAATGGGAGTCTTCCCCAAGGCAGGAATCCATCGGGGGGTTACCTGGTCCCACTGCTCTTCTCCAGCCTGTGGGCTGGGACTCGCTGAATCCCCTAAGGTTCCCCCCTGGTTCCTGGCAGGCAGGGCGAAAGAAGATTGGACTCCAGAGCTAGTTGACGGGTGAGGCAGGGACCCTCTCTGGATGGTGCCCTTTCATCAAAGCCAACTTTGCTAGAGCTGCCCTCTTCATCCTTGACATGGAGTTTCTCTCTCCATGATGTTCATGCCGTAGATGCCTCTGGCAGGGCCAAGGAACATACCTCATTTTGTACAGAACCGATCCCTAAACACGGAGCCCTGGTGATGCATTGGTTAGAGTGCAGCATTGCAAGCTAATTCTGCCCACTGCCAGCTGTTCGATCCTGACCGGCTCATGGTTGACTCAGCCTTCCATCCTTCCGAGGTCGGTAAAATGAGGACCCAGATTATTAAGGGCAATAGGCTGATATTGTATAAACCGCTTAGAGAGGGCTGAGAAGCGGTGTATAAGTCTTAAGTGCTATTGCTATCTGTGTCTCGCCCCCACCCCCACATGGAGTAATTCATATTCTCCAGGAAAACTGGTTTTTACAGAAAGAGTGCACTGCCTACAAGGATACAGGGGTAAGAGGGCCATTGTTGGTCACAAGTCATGGCATGCGTTTATGACCGACCGATCGATCGCTGGCAGACTCGCTCCATCCATTTGCTAACCCCTTACTAATCCTGGCTTGCTCACCCCACGGGGGACATTCACCGTGGCTCCTGCCCCTTGGCTCCTGCATGTTCACAGAGGGCAGGGGAGCAGGCAAAGAGAGATGGCTGTCATATCTTCTGTGGCCCCAGAGATAGTTTCAGATATGGAAGGAGAAGTCAAACATTTTTCCTTCTGCGGCAGTCCAGCACCGGAAGCAACAAGCAAAGAAAAATAATTAGAGGAGGGGGCATTTGAGAGAAATGCCACTTGAGTTTCCAATAATGTAAAGCAATTCATTATACATGGCTTGGCCTCAGGTCTCTTTGGAATAAATCCAGTCCCAGATCCAGAGATCTGACATAATGCCCTCGCTTAACAACCCATGGTGATCGACTTAACGACAGCAACCGGAACTGGCAGAATTACCATCGTTAAGCAGCATGGTCACGTGACGTCATGCTTTAGGATCCCATTGCTTAACGACGGCAATTCCAGTCCTGGTTGCCATTGTTAACGAAGGACTACCTGTGTAATATATGATCAAGATACTCCTGAAATAACTTCCAAGGCCCAACTCTGATCAGAATCCTCACTGCCTTATAAAGTTTTCTCCTCTACCCAACGGGACTGACAGCATGGCATTTGCTTGATTTCTGGTGCCGCTCTCCTCAGCTCAGTAGTCCTCATGAAAGCACCTTATTGTAAGAGCTGTGGTGGCGCAGTGTTTAGAATGCAGTACTGCAGGCTGCTTCTGCTGACTTTCAGCAGTTCAATTCTCACTGGCTCAA